CTATCTATCTATCTATCTATCTATCTATCTATCTATCTATCTATCTATCTATCTATCTATCTTCTATCTATCATCTATAAATCTATGAATTACATAAGGATACAGGTAGCCCTTGACTTATGACCACAATTGGGACTGAAACTTTCATTGCTAAGTAAGGCAATTAAGTCATGCCAGATTTTATGATCTTTTTTGCTACAGCTCTTAAGTGAATCACTGAGGATAAGTGAAACTGGCTTCTCCAACTGAGTTTGTTGAGTGGGAAGATCACAAATGCTGATAACGTGTCCTTTAAACATTACAACAATCCATGCTGGTTGCTAAGCCCTGAATTTTGATCATGTGATTGTGGAAGCATTGCAATAATCATAAGTGCAAGGACTGGTTGTTTATTACCGTTTTCAGCTGTGTTGTAGCTTTAAATAGTTGGCAAAAAATGGGTTATAAGTCAAGGCAATTTGTAGTTATTGGAAAGATTAATACACACTTATTAGTAAATGTATTTCATTTAAAACAATGATACTGTTACAATATAGACTGTAATCAATGTCAAGAAGCAATTACATTAAAAAAACCATGCTTGTCAGCTAGGATAGATATTTAATAGCCTTTCTTGCCTGGCCTTCATCTGAAGTAGACAATCCTATTTCAGACATCATTTGACATTGACAGCCTATCATATTCAAAATTAATTGGGGTTGTCTGAGCCACATATTCTTAAGCGCAAACTAGCGAGGTCAGTGGTCAGGAATAATGGAATCTGAAGATGAAGGTTCATTCTCCAAGCTTGTGGATTGCTTTCTGAATGTTTCGTTACCAGGCTAGGTAACATCTTCAGCAGAATTTAGGGAATGTTACAGACTGGTAATGAAATGTTCAGAAACAAATCCACAAGCTCGAACAAACGAACCTCCACTCTCATCCTACACTTAAGCTACAAATATTCACCACTATTACATAATGGAATCTATTCTCCAATAATACCTGGAGAGCAACAGATTTTCTATTTCTGATGAAATATATTTAGAATGAAGTGGGAAACACCATTACTTTTAACTTATTTATTTTTGTTAATTCTGTATCTAAGCAAAATCAAAGTGTCTGTCTATTGATCAAATGGCATTGGCGGGTACAAGATATTAATCCTGTCCTCTCTATCTGCATCATTTGTTCCTGAACTATCAGCTCCAGTGAAGATGTTGAACCACATAGGAAAGAGAAAGAAAGAAGAAAACTCATTTAATCCATTTTTTACTATTTCATTGTATTTCTCATCATACATCTTATGATTATAGTTAAACTACAATTGCACAATCAACTATTTCCCTACTTTAATATGAATAATTTTTCTATAATGCTTTTTAGCTATTTTTGGGCTTTGACACATTATATAATTGCCTTTCCTCCAACTCAATGGCTATATTTCTTGAAAAGTATACCAATTCTAACATTGTGTTATGGCTTTGCTACAGTATCATTGTACTAAATAATTCAATTGTTGTATCAATCCAATATTGTTATTTGGATTTGAGGACCAGTTCTCCAAGCTCTGACCATCATACATACATACATCATGCTCACATGGCCCCAATTACAATTCCAAACCATCAGTTTACAGGTAATGAGAAAGCCACTAGCCGAGTCTTTAGATTAGAGAATTCCAACCTGTCAACTTACTTCCACAAACCTGGGCTGAAAATAATCTGCTCTAAAAAGAGCAGCTTCCCACATTTCCTTTCTGCACTTGGACAGCACCAGTGACTACCAGCATAGAAACACAGCAAACGAACATATCTTTTAAAAAGGAGAACAAGGAATCAAATCCTACCCTGAAATGAAAATTACATCTGCAATTTTCTCATTAGACAAGGTTAGGCAAGGGCTTGGTTTCAGTTTCAGCTGAATCTGCAATATTGGTAGAACAGTCTCTGTGGCATCTTTTACAGGGCCATTGTATGCATTTCAATGAAAAAGCTTGTAAAGTCCTTTAAATATTGAAATCTTAATTATCAACCTCCTGGTCAGGGTGGCCTAGTAGTCACACAAGGGCTAATTTTTCAGGAGAGCAAAAAGATACATACAACACCTATCACCAAACACAGAAAGTCAGGCAGAAGAAGCAGCAGTTTTTTTTCCCAACCCTAGATTCAGTTTTTCTCTCCTACGAAAATCTCTCTTCCTAAAAAAAGGTAGGAAGTAGGCGTAGAGGGGTGTGTGAGAAGGAAGAATGAAAGTTGGAGGGGGTTGAAAGAGGGTGTATGGCAGGCCAAGGTGGTATACTGGGTTTGTATTGTAGAGGGCATTTTCTATATAAGTGAGGGCCGTGTTTATTATTCAATGTTATATGCCCTGATCAAGCACAGTGAATATGTGATTGTATAGAATGAAAACATAATAAAATATACATTAAAAAAAAAAAAGAAAATCTCTCTTCCTCTCCTCCAAAGATATTATTTATTTATTTAGTTTGTCACTCATGTACAATAACAGAAATAAGAATAAACATGAATAAGAACACAGGAAATGCGTACAAATAAATGGGGACAGTAGGACAGGGACGTTAGGCACACTGGTGCGGTTATGCACGCCCCTTAAAGACCTCTTAGGAATGGGGTTTTCCCCCTCCGATCCCCCTTTCTTTTTCTCCGATCCCCAGCCGACTTTTCAAGATAGCTAGAGGCGTCCCCGCTCTGGCTCCTTTTACCTCCCCTTTCCCCCCCTGCCTTTTGCCTTACCTGTCCGCGGAATCCCCCACTTCTTTCAGCGGCTCTCCAGCAAGAGCAACCCCATTGCATCAGCTACAGCACAGCCCGTGCGACGCCGATCGTCTTCCGATCAGGAAAGGCGTCCCTAGGCCGGAACTGAGGACAACGAGGAGGAGAGAAACCGACAGCGCTTCGTCCTGCGGGAAGGTCCGCCAGAGAGGCCAAACTCTCGTTAAAATAAAAAATAAAACTAAGGAGCGCACAAACCAGGAAGAAAGGCGGACGACGCTCAGGAGAGTAAACCAGGAACCCTTGAGAGCAAGTCGAGTTTCCTAGGGGAGGCTTTATCGAGGGAAGGATGTGGCCGCGCTGCAAGGCGATCTAAATCTGATGTCAGAGGCGGCTGCGCTCAGGTAGTGTTGCTGTAAAGTGGGTCCCCCTTTAGGTCAATGATTTGAGTGACTAGGAGTTTTTCTCTCTCTTCCTTATTCGCTAAGTCCCCGGCCCACTCAGGATCTGCTTCGATGGCAACGGTTGCAGTTGGTACCAATTATGTTCCCGAACGGTCTTTGCTTGTCCTAAGAGAGGAAATAAACGTAGCGAAGCTCGTTTTGTAAATGCCTCTATTTCCTAAACAGCCTAGTCGGATACAGAGAGGACAGATTCTCAGGCTGATTAGCAAGGATTCGTTTCTGTGTCCCTCCACCTGCTAAATTGCCTAGTGTGAAAAGATGCAGGAACTGGCTTCTCCTTACTTCCCAGGCTTCTATTTTCAGCCATGCCAAGTATAGTTGCTTTTTCAAGAGCATCATCTACTTTTATGAAATGTCCTAAGTAGTTCTTGCTTGCTGTTGGTAATCTTTATTTATCTAGCACATTCATCTATAACAGAATAACAGTTGGAAAGGACCTTGGAGGTCTTATAATCTAACCTTCTGCTCAGGCAGGAAACCACAAAAGATTGTCCAATCTCTTCTTTAAAATCTCCAGGTTTGGATCATTCACAACTTCTGGAGGCAAGTAATTCCACTGATTAATTGTTCTAACTGTCAGGAAATTTTTCCTTAGTTCTAGATTGGTTCTCTCCTGGATTAGTTTCCATCCATTGCTTCTTGTCCTGCCTGCAGGTGCTTTGGAGAACAGGATGACCCTCTCTTCTTTATGGCAGCCCCTTAGATATTGGAACACTGCTATCATGTCACCGCTTTTCATTAAACTAGACATAACCAATTCATCCAATCATTCTTGGTATATTTTAGCCCCCAATCCCCTCATCATCTTTGTTGCTCTTCTCTGCACTCTTTGTAATGCTTTATCTTTGAGCTCAAGAAAACAAAAGAATCACTTTTGCTGTCACCTGTGAGTTCAGCATGCTAGTTAATATGATTGTCTTTTTAATAATTAACAATCCAAATTTTTCATTTTCCTTGTTTACTTTAATAGTGAGCACTTCTAAGTCCAAGCCCTTTTTTACTGTAGGGGTACAAGTAGTATTGTCTCATATATCAAATTGTTGATGTTTCAGTATTCTATTAGGCTAATTGGCTTAAATGTATGTTTATTACATGTTGTATTCTAGACACTCACTATTACACACTTACATAGTAGACACACTGAATTCATACTGCTATATCTATTGCAGTGTTTTTCAACCACTGTGCCGCGGCACACTAGTGTGCCGTGACATAGTGTAAGGTGTGCCATGGGAAAAACACCTTATATATAGTCAATANTTATTATTATTATTATTATTATTATTATTATTATTATTATTATTATTATTATTATTATTATTATTACGGTCATCCAGATGTTTAGAGTAGATTTGGCATTTTTAGAATGCCAAAATAATAACAATAATTATTCTTATTATTTCAGTAATCAAGCCACTTCTTACTTACTACTTTGTAATCTTAAAACTTAATTGACAAGAAGGCCCGTTTCTAAATAAGAAATAAGTATGTTTCCTAATTAAAATTTGAAAGCCATATATTGCAATAAGTACATGACAGATATGCTAAAATGATTTCTTGAATTCCTTTTCAAAAATGCAGATTTGCAACTGGTATATTTAGACATATTTAGATTTAAAATTAGGCCGCCATTTTTTTTGCCAATAAGTCAAGGATTGAGAATTATTGGATAAAACAAAACCACACACACATATATAATGCATGTAGTTATATAAATGTTGAAAAACGTCTGGATACTGGAACTTGAGTAATTCCTGTTTAATAGTTTTGTGGAATAACTATTGTAGAGGTTTATTTCTTAAAAGTGATAAATACTGTTACTTTTGTTTTTTCTGTTGTCCTGTAATTTTGAAGCCAGTAGAGGGCACAGTTAGATTAAATATAAATGTTGCAAGACTAGAATCCTAACTGCAATTTGCTTCTCAGCTTGGTGTGTCATTGCAAAAAGGCTACTTTTTAATAGACAGCAGCATACTGTATAAGGTCATCATCGCATTTAATCTGGGAAGGAATTTTAGTTACTTTAAAGCAATTGCAAGGATTAAAAATATGTTTATTTTTCTGTCATTTTCTAAATGTAAGTTCATTTGTAGTAATGAAATTTATGAGTTACAACCACAATTAAGGTCAAAATGTATGTTGCTAAATGAAACATTCCTTAAATGAGTTTGCCCCATTTTATGAATTTTCTTGCCACTGTTATTAAGTGAATCTTTGCATTTCTTAAGTTAGTAACACGGTTGTTAAGTGAATCCAGATTCTCCATTGACTTTGCTCAACAGAAGGTCACAAAAGCTGATCATGTGACCTCAGGACACTCCAACTGTCATAAAGATGAACCACTTGCCAAGCATCTGAATTTTGATCATGTGACTATGGGGATGCTACAACGGTTGCAAGTGTGAAAAACAGTAATAAGTCACTTTTTCAAGTGCCACTATAACTTTAAACAGTCACTAACTGAACTGTTGTAAGTTGAGGAGTAGCTGTAGTTTCAAACTACAACTTGAGAGAGAAGAAGTAAAGACGTTTGTGACCTCAACAAAGCATTCTACTTTTTCATCGAGGGCTAGGTAATCTTAACTAATCTTGTGAATGTGGATGAAAAATGGCACTGATAATTGTTATAAAGAATTGTTTGGTGCAGTGTACAAACTGGACCTTTGTCAGTCTACTATTCTGATGTGTTTTTAGACAAATATCTAAATCAGAAATCTTGTTGGAGAAACTCTGAGAGTTGAAGACAACATCTTAATGTTGTCAAAGTTGATAAACACTATCCTAAGCTAACAGAAAGATAACTGATATCTGTGCATTTTAAACAAGGCATATTTTAACTGTCTTCCGTACATATGATTCAGGGTGATTCACAGAATATAACAGCATAAAAAAAATCCACACTAGTGCTAAAAATATTGATTTATTAAATTTAATGTCATACATCTGCCCAGTAAAACAAGTCTGGGTAACATCAACAGCAAGTAAAATCAACAGCAAAAGTAAATTATTATTGTACTGTATACAACAAATACATTCCAAAGTCTGAATGAGCAACATTTACAAATAGCAGCAAAAGTGCTGAAGAGATTGTTTGATAATCAGAATCTTTTTTTCCTAGTTAGTACCATCAAAAGGTTCTTTATCAATAATTTCACTTATCAAATATGCTTAGGCAGTTATTTGGGTTGGTTTAAGATGCTGAGCTTGTGGATCAGGTCAGCATTTTGTCAATTTGAATCCATAGTGCTGCGTAACGGAGTGAGCTCCCGGCTTCTGCCAACCTAGCAGTTCGAAAGCATGTAAAAATGCAAATAGAAAAAAAAATCACCTTTAGTGGGAAGGTAACAGCGTTCTGTGCATCTTTGGTGTTTAGTCATNAGATCAATGGTTCTCAACCTTCCTAATGCTGTGACCCTTTAATATAGTTCCTCATGTTGTGGTGACCCCCAACCATAAAATTGTTTTATGTTTTCTGTATTTTTTCAAAAATATGTGTTTTCCTATGGTCTTAGGCGACCCCTATGAAAGAGTGGTTTGACCCCCAAAGGGGTCCCAACCCACAGGTTGAGAACCACTGTTCTAGATTATTCTTTTTTGATTGATATTAATTACCAGCAGAGATATATGCATTTGTCATAGGGATTTTTGTTCAGGTTATTTCCGAATCATTAGATTCTTTTACCTCATCATGGGTATTTTAATATTTAATAAGGGGTGTTATAGGTATTATAACAACCATTTTAATGTTTACTGTAGATATTAATGCCTAAATGCAATATTGCAGATGCTTATACATGTTGCTGCTGTTGATGTTTATATTTAATTTTGTCTGTAAGCTGAGTCCACACTAATTGGACAGCATATAATGTGAATAATTAAGTAATTATTTATTTAATATATTTATGTAATAAATAAATTAATTAAGTAAAATACACTAATTAAGAAATTAAAAGTACAAATATTATTAAGCTCTGGAAATAAATTACAATGACTTTTGTAAGTAAGAAAGATATGAAACAAATTATTTAAAGTGACTAATTGTATTTGTGCTTTCATTACAGAAACTAGTCATTGTTGATAAGAATCCAAAAACATACTAGTACATTTCAGGGGCCCCTTGCCCTCTCCCCAATAGTTCCCATAATGAGTTTTTCCCTTGTTGCTTATGATGATTCGGATTCTGAAGCAGAGACTGGGAGATCTGGAGATTTAATTAGCAGTGAAATCAATCTAACAAATTCCGCTGTGGATGTTGTTCAGCCCACTGATGACTTAAATATTATTTCTGAGACAAAAGCCGAATCTGTGGAATACATGGGAAGCTCCAAAAAGAACATGTCTTATGAGGATACCTTTCAACAGCATCTACAACCTAATGAAAAGACTACAATAACAGCAGTACAACAGCAGCACAACAGAAATTGTACTCTGACTAAAACAAGGACTAAGTATACCCAGCCATTATATACCCAGCCGTTGGAACCTAAAATACCTTCTGGAAACACATATGCTCAGAAGAGGATGCGTAATGATGAAGATGTAACGATTCAAAAACTGAGACCATATGTTTCAAAAAAAGTGCAACAGGAAAAAAAGGAATACCAAGAAGAGAGTGCATCGTCTCCAGTTAAATTTAGTACAGCTGAAGATAAAATGACAGTTAAAGTTTCCCAATATATTATGCCATATGTAGGATCAAAATATGCAGTTACTGAAATTCCAAAGAACTTAGTATTTCACATGGCTGAGCACAGTGGACCAGTTAATGCAGTTCGCTGGTGTCCTCTACAGAGGTGGAGCCATATGTTGCTTTCTGCCTCTATGGATAAAACTGTCAAGGTAACGTATTGCAGTATAAATGTCTTTAATTAACTATTACTTATATAATGATTGAAGTTCCCTACGAACCTTTTTCTAAGCTATATTAAACAAAACATATTCTGTACCTTGTCCATAACAGTCTGAATTGAGATTAAATTGTCTGTTGATGAATATTAATCTGTACATTTTGTGGATGTGAAAAATACTGAACAGTATAGTTTCATCAATAGAATAGAATAGAATTCTTTATTGGGCAAGTGTGATTGGACACACAAGGAATTTGTCTTTGGGGCATATGCACTCAGTGTACATAAAAAGACAAGATACAGTCATCAAGAATCATAAGGAACAACACTTAATGATAGTCAAAGGGTACAAATAAGCAATCAGGAAACAATATCAATATCAATACAAATCATAAGGATACAAGCAACAAAGTTACAGTCATGCAATCAAATTCTTGCTTATGGGTGAATGGGAGGAACAAAATATCCAAAGCAATTGGAGGAGAGAATGCCCATCAGGCATAACCTCATGTGAACAGTGGGCAGTATGTCTCTTGCTTCCAAAGCTGCATTTGGGTTTTTGAGATACTGGGAGACATAGAGTCATGAAACCAGTGCATATTTTTAATCCCTCTCCAGATAAAGGAAAAACAGTTGAGGCATCAGCCTACACCAGGGGTGTCAAACTGGCAGCCTGTGGGCTGGATGCATCACGTGCAGGCCACGGCCACCCCAGCTCCGTGAAGGGGAGAAACATGAAATGTCACATGACGTCAATGTGATGTGGCAAGTTTGACACCCGTGGGCTATATCCTTGTTCTGCAGTCAGTGTAATATGTATTTTGTTAACAGTCAGGACCAGTGGTGGTATTCAGCAGGTTCTGAACAGTTCTGGAGAACCATTAATTGAAAGTTTGAGTAGTTCGGAGAACCGGTAAATATTACCTCTAACTGGCGCTGCCCCATCTATTCTCTGCCTCCCAAGTGTCAGATGATCGGGAGGAAATGGAGATTTTACAGTATCCTTTCCCTGAAGTGGGGTAGGAATGGAGATTTTACAGAATCCTTTTCCTGGAGTGGGGAACAGTTCTGGAGAACCTGTAATGGAAATTTTGAGTAGTTCGGAGAACCGATAAATACCACCTCTAACTGGTGCCACCCCCATCTATTCTCTGCTTCCCAAGTCTCAGATTATTGGGAGGAAATGGAGATTTTGCAGTATCCTTTCCCTGGAGTGGGGTAGGAATGGAGATTTTACAGTATCATTTCCCTGAAGTGGGGTAGGAATGGAGATTTTACAGTATCCTTCCCTTGCCACACCCACCAAGCCATGTCCACCAAGCCACGCCCACAGAACTGGTAGTAAAAAATTTGAATCCCACCACTGGTCAGGACATCATGTCTAGCNATGTGTGTCTCCATGTGTGTCTAACCCTGTTTCTGAAAGGCTCAGGTGGGGAAGGTAGGTTTTATCTATACTGTCTCTATGAATTCTGTTGAATCCCATTCTTTGTCTCCCAAGAGGAATCCAGGATTAAATGGAGAATCCTAGTTTTGGGGAAAAGTCCTAGTTACATACCTGAAAATTTTCTGGAATAACATACAGATATAATCTGGCAGCAAAGAAATTAAGAGTGATGATACTATAGTTTTTATAACTGTTTTTTAAAGGCAGTAGCATAAAATATTTTTACTATTTTTTATAAATATGTGGAATCTTAAGCAGATCTGTAGTTTTTAATAGTAGATATAAGTTAAATGTCATATTTTTTCCCATTATGGGGAGGAGCACCTATAATGGCATAACTGTAATACTTCAAAATGAATGTCCTTGCTGGAATGCTTGTTCTGAAAACAATAAAAAGAAGTTATACATCTGGATTTCTAACAAATAGCTAGCAATTGCAATGTTCTGGAAATATGTGATCCAGTTAGGTTGTTTCTCAGAAGCAAGGCTTAACATTCAAGTTTTAATTGGTAGATTCTGTCAATACCTTTTTCAAAATACATTGTAGTCATAATGATATGCTCAAATAGCCTGTTAGAGACCAGCTACTGTGATTGTTATGCAGTTGAGGTGTCAGGTATAAGCTTCAAGCCGCACACTTTCATTTTAGATTAAGCTGCTTTGTCTCTTTTAATAAATGATTATTGTCTGGAAGTGGGTAGAACCATTTCCATTTTGCATGAAGATCGGATCCTCAATGTATTAGAGTAATGAAATAAATAGAGCTAGATAACTAGTTTCATTTATTACATTATATAAAATGTTACTCTCTATATCAGAGGAGTCAAAGGGTTGCATTACAACACACAAATACATGTGTGTGCATGCACAGCTTCTGTGAAAGCTGCTAAAGTCTGGCGATACTTTTATGTTTTTACATAAAAGAAGAAGAATGGCCTCAAAACTTTCCCCAACCTCTAAGCTCTTTGTTTTATGAATGAAGTCAAATAAGAATGGCTGCTATTGCAGAAGTTATGCTTTCAGGTTGGCAGATGGAAAATAATGCCTGGGGTAACTTTTTTGTTTTATTTTTATAACATCATACTCCCAGCAGACTCCTGGTAGAGCGTAGCATGAAAACACAAAATTAAACATGCTTCTTCAGATACTAAAAAGACATTGTTTATTGGCATCTCCCAACAGCAAGATATATTAGGCTTTTCTTAACAGCTCCATTTTCACTGTCTCTGGAAGTTAGGATCACTAAAAAGCATGGACTTTTATTCCCATCCTCTGAATCTCTCGCTTCATCCTCACATAGGAACTGTGAACTCTTTGCTTCATACCGTTATGCTTGTAACAGCCAGTTAAGTTTAAGGTGTCTGGATATCAAACCATGTAGGGGTTTATAGGTCAAAACAGTATTTTGAATTGCTCCTAGGAGCCAATTGATAGTGTAGGTAAATTTCTGTGGTTTACAAACTACAGTGGTTATAGTTAACTATACTCTAAACCATAAGCAAACCAAATCTTGGCTTACATTCAATAGTAGACAATCAATACCAGATAAACAATCTGATACAAAGCAATACCAGCCTAACCAATGAAGAAATCATATCCCAGCCAGGTGTTATATGCAATCTACCAGTAAACTGTACTCTCTCCTGCACTAATGATGATACCTAGTCTGGTGCAGGTAATGCTCCCTTAATAACCAGCAATTCCACTGCTAAGTGACACAGTCATTAGGTGAGACATGTGACTGCACTGGACTACAACCTCACTTCAGTTAAGTTAATCCACAGTGATTAAGAGACACATTATGTGACCATGATTTGTGATTTTACTCCATTGACACTGCTTGTTGGAAGTCAGCTGTGAAGCACACAAATGGCAATGTGTGACTGTGGATGTTGCAAGAGTCATAGACATCTGTGGGTTGCAAAGCACTCAAATCTTGATGATGAGACCCAGGAATGCTGTGATACTTTTTCAGTGTATAAGACCAAAATCCTCTCCAAAAGTGGGTGGAAATGTCTGTGTGTCTTATAGACCGAATGTTGCCCTCCTGCTGGCCCCCATCCTTCAGCTTCTGCCTCCCAGAAATATGCCTCCTAACAGTAAACAACTTGGTCAGCTTCAGCATAGCCTGATTTAGCACGAGCAGCTGATTGGCGGTTGGATTGGCCTCCCGGAATATCGCCTATCAGCTATTCCAGGTTGCAGGGATCAGCTCCATGTGTCCTGTTTTTGGCCTCTGCACATCCTGGTTTTGGCCTCTGCGCACCCAATTTTTGGTCTCCATGGATCCCATATTTGGCCTCCACATGCCCCATTTTTGGTCCATTCCAGGCAGTGGGTATAGGCACCAATCCCCACCCCCTGGAACAGGCCGAAAATGGGGCATGTAGAGGACAAAAATGGGATGTGTGAAAGCCGAAAATGGGGTGTGTGGAGGTGGGAGCGATGGGTGGTGGTGATCCCCGCTGCCTGTAACAGCTGATAGGCAGTATTTGGGAGGCCAATCCATCCATCAATCAGCTATTTGTGCTAAATCAGGCTGTGCTGAAGCTGTCCAGTCTGTTTGCTGCAAGGAGGCAAATTGCTGAGAAGCAGAGGCAAAGGCAGATTTCTTTTTTTTTTGTTGTCCTCCCCAAAAGGTAGGTGTGTCTTATAGTCCTGAGCATCTTATATACTGAAAAATACAGTATAAGTGAGAAGGCCAGTCTCAAAGTCACCTTTTCAGTACTGTGATACCTTCGAAAAGTTGCTAAACAGAGCAGTCATTAAGTAATGTCCACCTGTAATGAAACAACCAAGCTCAGAGAATATCTACAGTCTAATAAGGCAGTATATTAACTAGATCTACTGGATTTCTTTCTGACAAATCATGAATGGAATTGTATTTACTTTAAAGTGGCCATGATGGACACTTATATTTTGATTTTAAACATAAAATTAATCTATTGATTTGAAAGAACATAAAAAGTTATAATCAGTCTCTTATTTAGGAGTGTGAATTATTGAAGAAAGTTTGTTAGTATCTTGAACTTATTTAAATATTAAAGATGATTAAACTTTAAAAAGAGACTTCTGGAAGTCCATTGAAGATGAAAACATGAATGAAAATAAGGAACTATGTTAAGTTGCTAAGATAAAAATCTAGCTAGTTAATATTTGCAGATCTTTGTTTCATTCTGCAATGGCAAGCCTTGGTAGATTATTTCATATATTTGAATATTTAGGAACTGATAGTGTTTGCTTCTATGCTGTACTGCAGTTTATTGATTTATCACCATCCATCTCACTCACTGAGTAACTTTGGGCAATATACCAATAAAATGTTAAAAATATAAAAGCTGAATATAAAAAATTTAAAATAGAAGCAAGGATAGTTAAAATTCAATATTGAATATTAATTAAAAGGCAAGGGAGGGGCTTCAGTAATTATACTGCTAGATTCTCAAACAATTTTGAGTTGCTCACAATTCTCTAAAGAGTTAGTATTTTTAAATTAATATAGTAAGGGGTAAGATATCATACTGTACGATCATGGACTAGTGGCA